GTTATCTTCATTTGTTAACAATGAAGGTAGCTGTCTTGTTTGATATTTATAAGGGTTGTCAACCCCTGGGAGTTTGCTGTCATGGAATCAAGGAGTTGATTATTCAGTTCATACGGCTATGTGGGAATGGTGGGCTGAGGGAGAATTGCCCACTATGGAAAAATCTAAAACATCTCTAAATCTTTGGAAACAGTTTACTCTTTCATCTGCTTAATGTGAATATACATATGTACTTGAAGGGGCTTTTCCATGCCACAGAATAAATAAGGTGTTACCACCTTTTTCATATGATGACATAGCTGTTGCTTTAAAAAAATGGGGTTCTATGTTGCAGAGGTTGGGTTTGTTTTCTCTTAAAGAAGTTTTGTTCGTGGTTGGCAATGGAAATGGATAAATTGGGACAGTCATGACAGTTATGAAATTTTTCAACTCTGTTTGAAGTCTCATCCGTCTGGTAGCGATAGACCAGAAATTCCTTAGTGGGGGAAAAAAGTATTCACATCAAAAACCACTACTCTGCACTTCATTTGGCTGAGATGTAGTTTAGTTCAGTCTCTTACTTGCTTAAAGTGAGCAGGTAAGTCCAACTGAACTACACTGTCCATTGCAGTAACCTGGACTGTATGAGGCACGTTTAGGAAGGCTATGGATAAATTTACGCTGCTTCCTTGCTCTGTAGATTTCTAGAAGTTCTCATTCTCAGGCCAGTTCTTGCATTCATTAAAAACACCAATGCTCTCTTTTTGGGGGGAAGCGCAAACAAACCTGCCACTTAAACATATTGTTGCCTATGTCAGAAAAATTGGTGTGTGGATAAGCTATTTCAGTAGCTTGTGGATTTTAATGTACACTTGAACCTCCTTAATGAGGGTGTCTGTTTGGACTCTCACATGGCTGGAGCACCAGTGCCAGCTTCTCGCTGCAGGTTGGGGAGCCCCAGGCCTCCTAAGCTGGATCCAGGCAAGCCGCAGGTTGGATCTAGCCTACGGGCTCTGCCTGGCAGGGGGAGGCAGAGCCTCTCATGCCCAAACGCTTTGTCTTCTCCCCGCCCCCCTTCCCCTCCCCACGCTTTTCCTTCCTCCCAAAGCCTGCACCCCCTGCACCCTCCGGGTTTTCCTTCTTCCCAAAGCCTGCACCCCCTGCACCCTCCGGGTATGTCTACACTGCATTCCTCTTTCGAGAGAGGAATGCAGATGCAGCTGAGCGATATTGCAAATGAAGTGCGGATTTGAATTTCCCATGCTTCATTTGCATAATCGCATCCGGGTGCTATTTCAAAATACCCTATTTCGGAAAAAAAACTCAGTCTAGAAGCAGTTATTTCGAAAGAAAACGCTTCTTTCGAAATTACCCTTAAACCTCATTTTATAAGAAGTAAGGATAATTTCGGAAGAAGGGTTTTCTTTCAAAATAACTGCGTCTAGACTGCGTTTCTTTTTTCGAAATAGCGCCTGGACACAATTATGCAGATGAAGCATGGGAAATTCAAATCCACGTTTCCTTTGCAATTTCGCTCAGCTGCATCTGTGTTCCTCTCGAAAGAGGTATGCAGTGCAGACATACCCTCCCTCCCAGACCCCTGGTCCCACTCCTGCATCACCACCTCCAATAACAGTTTAAATACAGTGTGTTAAGGATTTCTTGTGACATGTTATACATGTACAGTGCTCTATGATGGTTTGTACATACGTAAGCTTTAGTAATAGACTTTGTTTACCCTTAATTATGGCAACGACCATGTTCCCAAAATTCATGTTCCCAATAAGCCAGCATTGCCTATTTCCCAAGGTTGCCGGATTAAATAGGTTCAAGTATATTAGTGATATGTTCATAATTGTCCTGCCACATTTTCACTTCACTAAATGAAAATTATTCTTTGTAGGATACTACATATTAAACTACAAACTTCATTGTATTTGGAGCCAGCAAAAATACATAGAGATGAAATATACCATAATTATATGTAAAAATACATAGAGATGAAATATACCATAAAAAATGAGGGTGACAAAAATGATTAGGCTGTGCATAGGGTTTAAATGCTTAATGTATTCATGTTTTAAGAAATATTAATACTTTTTTATGACATCTCAAAAATGAAGAGATTGTCCTTTTCCTTTTTTTATAGATGTCCTTCCTGTTCTTGAATATCTGACAGTTCCTTCTCAAGAGTGATTACTTTGCCCTTTTGTGGGAGCAGGTTTTAAGAGAGATAGCAGAGAACAGTTGTCTTGGTTGAACTTATCTAAAGCATTTAAAGTTACCCATTTCAAAGGGGAATGCTAATGGATTTGGAAACTACCTTTTTAAAATCAATTCATATATTGCCTTCAAGGAAAAAATGACAGACATTTGCCGCAAAGAAAATCTGGAGTTCTTAGAGACAATAGCATAAAATCAGCTACTCTCGTTAACATTCCCTATGTCCCTGGTCTGCAAGTGTATTTGTGCAATGGGATCCATGTGCCTGTGAAGAACAGGATTGGAGCCTTATTTTGTAGTCCTGCTACATTCCGATTCCTGAAGTCCTACTA